TTTTTTTTTATCGATCTTTAAATTTTCATGTAATTTGTGGATCTGTTATTATTTTTATGCTAGATATGTTAATTATTCATAATAATCCGTGTAATTGTACGAATGTGAATGTAGTATAGAGTTGTTTTTCAATCAGTATCTCTGTTTATCCTCTGTATATTCATGCAAAAATTTTGAAAATAATTGTCTTTTTATCTTTTAATTTCCACTACTGGCTACCAAGATATGGACCTATGTATTTTTCAATTATATACGAAATTAGTTTATCTATCCGGTAATAAATGTTTGTTACTGGATTAGTGTATGCTCCCCTACTCACGGTGGACATGTGTTAATATGCCCACCGCTTATGTGTCATGCACACATTGGTGATGTATTTTTTTAAACTTATTAATATCATCAATGAGTGCATGTCACCTACACGATGGGCATACTAACACATGCCCACCGTGGGTAGGTGAGCATTATCTTTATATTGGATTGTTAATTTAGATTCTTCAAAAAATAGTTTTATAAAAGTTTGTCGATTTGAAGTGGTTTAGAAAATTCTAAATTTTTTTTTTTTTTATTCACGTTTGTAAGTCTGTCAACTGGTTGCGGATTCACTAATCCAACAACCGACGTCGACTACAACAAATACAAGAATCATATAAACAAAGGTGAGTCCTGTTAAATTGAAAAATACTGCTTATTTATATAGAATTAAAAGTACAATCAAGATATACTATACGATGAAAATATCGTGAATAGCTTCTGATATTAATGTTTGCTACGCTTTCGCAGGATATGTTTAATCATCTTCGTTTGCATGTGAATTCAAGAAATGATACCGAGATTGGATAAGGAAAATATATCAATCGGAAGACTTCAAAGTTCAAAAAAACAGATAAACAACAATGGCTATAAATGTTCGTGTTTTATTTAATTTGGGTAACCTTTAAAATGTTCTACTTGCATGAAAAATATGAATCCAACCGGAAAACAACATACATCCATACTCGTTGATTGAGTGTCATAGCAAACTTTGCAAGGTAGGTACTGTTCTTGTTAGCATGACAAACAAATATGAAATTGTGTTTTACAATATTTATTGAAAAAATTAATTGATAATTTTTAGTGCCTGTTTGTACAAAACATACATGGACAAACACACAAAACAAACAACTCATTATGTTTGCATATATTTCTACAAAATATCAACTAAGTAAACCATTACTTAAAACTCTGAAAATATTAAAAATATAACCTTGAATACTTATTCTGCTGCACTCCTATTACTGTCTGAATCCGAAAAAAAGCAAAACTTGTGTTAGAATATTGAATCCAAGGTGTATCCCAGAACAATGACGTTCTTGAATGAGTCTAATATATTCCAAGGTTATATTTTTAGATGTGTATCCCAGAATGACGTTCTTGAAATTCCTGCTATTGACGTTCTCTAATTTTTTTCCTCTATTCGTTTTATTCTATGTATTTTGAAACTTGTATGAGTTGGAGAAAATGATAAAACTCTGAATATATATATAACTTAACGTGCATACTGTAAGGGATCGTTGTTCTTTTAAATCGCAAATAATATGGCACATATTTTAATAATTAGAAAATTTGTTAGAGATATATCAGTGCAAATTTGTTATAAATATATTAGAGTAGATTGTGGTTCCTAATTAGTCGTACGTGAGAACAGATTTTATTGCGGTAATAGATTTTAACTGATTCCTAATTAATTGTATCGTGGGAACATATTTTATTGATATATCAGTGCAAATTAAGTGTGGATAGATTTTAACTGATTCCTAATTAATCGTATCGTGGGAACAAATTTTATTGCGGTATCAAATTTTAACTGAAAATGCGTTTTACCAGTGCGGTATCAAATTTTAATTAGGAAATGCGAGTAAAAAAGAAAAAAAAAACGGATTCCATTCCGTGAATTATTGAACCTGAACAGATTATCGGTTAAAGAAAAAGAAAAATTGCTAAATTGTGAAAACAAAGAAAAATCTAGTTTTTTAAGGATGTTCCACAAATAGAAAGTCAAAGTTTTGACCTAATTATTTTAGGTTTCTAAAAAAGAATTTAACATCAACCTTTTTAGATATATATTGATATTGTTATTGATTTATTTTGAACTCAATACGTAACTTGAGACTTGAATTGATCAAATAAACGAGCTCTGTTTCGACTATAAGCCAGCTCTCATTCACTAAATGTGGCTGAGTTTTTTGTGTTAGCCATAAGTAAATATAGTTTAACTAGCGACACGATGAATCAATTATCAACTATAAACTATACTACCACTAGTGTTGTTAAATTAAACTAGTTTGGCTTGACATGACTCAAGTTTGGCTCATTAAGGCTCGAGTTCGACACCTTAACGAGCGGAGCTCGAGCTTATTTAAAGTTTGTTTGATTAACAAGCTGAGCTCAGCTCAGCTCGATAAGGCTAAAAAATGAAATGTTAAATAATTTTTTATAGTTCCATATCGTTAAGGCTCAAGCTCGAGACTTTAACGAGGTGAGCTCGAGCTCGATTTCTGGGTCGTTTATTTAATGCGTTGAACTTGGCTCGGCTCGTTAAGGCTCAAGCACAAACTATAGTGGGCCTAGTTTTGTCAAAACAAACAAACTGGGACCCGCATCTTCTCATATTCATTCCCAGGATGATTGGATACAAAACTTATCAGAAAAATCAAATCATTTTTAAACTCAACTTTAACTAAATTCTATCATCACTTCAAATCATCTTTCTCTTACTTTTACATCAAATCAACATTAATTATTTTATTTGAAATATTATTTTAATATAACTACTGAAAACTAATCATACCACATTTTTCAAAAATAACTAAACCAAACCAACAAAT